GTTACACATGTACATTTGCAAATATTACCCGACTTTGCCCGTTCATAAATGTTTTATTTAATTTTAAAATAGCTTCCATTTTCTACCCGTGACATGGATTTTTCTAAATCGGTGAATATTTTAAAAATACTCAGTTCACAAAGTTAAAAAGAGTTTATTATTTTTTTGCAAGATCCATGTTGCTTTCATTATATACTTGAGTATACCTGCATATTTACCAGTTATCTCTAGTCGGGACTGCGCAACTAGAAAATACCTTGAACCCAGCGACAAATAGGCTTTGCAAACATTCTACATTTCTTCATATACAAATTATGCTGCGGCTGGGATTCTTCCTTACGAGGCTAACTTCGTTGTTTATTGTTCGAACTCTTTACAATTTCCAGGGCACAAATATGGCATCAAAATATGTGCAACTCCAACAATATAACTCCAAGAGTTTTTTCCAAGAAGTAAAATATTCTTTTAGGCTCTAAGATATGATCAACAAACAGGACTTTGATTACATTTTCAGAGGGTATTATAATTTTGTCATGAAATATGTGACGCATAGAGGAAGACATCGTCGACCCCATAAGGTATACGTATTCCAGATCAGCATCAACAGCAGAGTTGCATAGGTCCCTCTTTCTGTTCCAGCCAGTACATATTTTGGCAACGGCCGGATCGGACAACCATATCATATAGATGCCATAGAAAAGATCAGTCGAAATTTAGGTTCTCGTATGGGAAACTTGTATGATTATCAAGATATCTTGATCAAACTCGGCAATTATTAGTTTCACTTATCAAGCAAAATATTCGGTTTTCAGCATTTACGAGCTTCACTATTCTCACAACCCGTAAGACAAATGTCTACATTCGGATAAAAGAAAAGTTAAATAAAATTGTTTTCTCACCCGGCCGACCATAACATACCTGCTGCCTCAAAAAAAAATTAATATGTGCATGATAATAGTCATGACTCAGAGACAGTTTGCCATTAAATTGATAGAGTATACATACGTTGGAAATGCCTTGTGAGTTATTAAAATGCATTTTCATAAGTACAGGGTAGAGATAATACTCACATATGTATAATCAAATGAAGCAAAGACCCGCCTGTTTTTTTAGTTTAAAAAAGCAAATAAAAAGTAAACCAGCATCCCAAAACAGAACAAGTAAGAACGCTGAAGTCGAGTGTGCTCGACTACAAAATCGCCTATAAGCAGCAGTCAATATAATATTTTGGTTAACAGCAGCAAGCTTTGACTTATTCAAATCATAAAATATAGCCCAATATACTATTGAACATTTAATGTTGAATTACTTCTTTGTTTGATGTCCATTGTGTTCATGAAAATTAAAGGGCATAAATATGGCATTCACTTTGCATATATACCACATCGCAAGGCACTAGCATTGAAAGTGGTTTTAAATTTGGAGGAGTGAGAGAGTTTTCCAAAGAGTGAATTATTTCTAATCTGTGTACTATACGAGACCCTCTATATATTGTGTCCAGCTCTTGTAGTTTTTGAATTATGCTTTAAAAACAAATCTCAAAATCAATTATCGATTTCAATTATAAGCTCATTTTGCGAATAACATACGAGAATATTCATTTAAAATATCAAGGCTAAAGCATATGTCATTTCGTCGTCCTGATCAATAATATATGTATATAGTTAGTGGACACCCTTCCTTCTGTCTTTTACATACATTTGCACAAAAGCATTACACCCTTTTAACCCAAATAATTAAAAGTGTAATGATTGAAAAAACCAAAATTTGTAGAAGAGAGTACGAAATGCAAAAATCTATTAACTGATATATATTAATAGGAGTATAAGTCGATTCTCCTACCATCAAAAGAACCAACGAAACGTTCAGGAAAGAGCATTAAAAAAAGGCTTAAGAAGAAAGATTTTAAAGATAAAAGCCCGTGTTACAATAAATAATATCAAATATACAACTCGCATTGGGGGATTATGAGGCGCGAATTCTCATATTTTGTAAGCACTTAGCACGCGAGATTCAATTAACCAGCACAAATAAAATAATTGTTTACCCGACTTTCATGGTAGATGAGTCATGGAACATACATACCTTTGTACGAGGTACATAAAGCAAAAAAAAAAACAAAACAACAAAAAAAATAGTTGAAACAGAGATCGCCCAACTGCTCGGCGGTGGCGACAAACGCAAACTGAGTTAACTGTGAACCGAGAAGCGTATTCTGCTCATTTTTTCAATTGTTCAGTAATAAATATACAATCTATACAAAAACAAAAATAATACTAAAATAACGCATATGACATTTATTACCATTGGCCTTTCCGTCCATCGCTGGTCTATAAAAACGGCGATATGAGCTAAAAGTTGTAATCATATTGAGGTGCCTTTTATGTCTGGAGTGGATGTGCACTTGCTAACTAATAGACATTACCTTCGGTGATACGCTACCAGAATTAGCATTATTTAGGCGCGTTGCAGGAATTAAGCCTGATTTTTCGAAAGCTTGGTCAACAATTTGTTGGCAATTTCCGTTTCTTTGAGCTCGACCAACATTAACTGAACGTATCCAACAGGCGTTATATAAAACATATAAGGGCTGGTTCTAGGGGAAATTCAAACGGCCTCTATTGAGAATTGCAACCGGTTACGTTTTGTTTGTTCAACGACTATTTTGCCAAAAAATTATATTTTAAAAAAATCAATTGGTATCTAATACAGCAGCAAGAAAAAACTATTTTCTCGCCTTTTATTTCAAGAAAAAAAAACATTAATTTAAACATTACACAAACGAGGCCAAAAAGTTAAAAAGAAGAATTTGGAAAATGTATTCGAAATTGTCTTTCATTTTTTTAATAACAAAATGATTAAAAATAAAAGGAGAGCAGACCAAGATTCCAAAACCAAAATTCAAAGAAATTATTCACTGTGTTAATTTATTTTCTCGAATAGACAACAAGTATCTGACCTATGACAGTTTTATTTATAATCATAAGCCGCACAACACAAAACAAAGTATTAAAATCCGTATTTGATAAAAAAAAACAAATTTTTTGAAAATACATATATTTCTCTACAAAACCCCATTCCACCGACCGTCGTTTCTTTCTATAGAGCTATATAATATAGTAATCCAAGATTAATAATAAATGTCGAGAAACAAAAGATGTTCATGCAATAACTTAACTTTTGATGAATGATCCCTGTGTGAATCATCCCTATATAATATGCGATCCGGCCTATTTAATGCATGTTGCATTTTATGACGATAGCATTAAAACCGATAAAATAGTTTGCATAGAAACAGACGAACATGATTATATGGACTCGTCTGTACTAATGCATTTGTATATATACATATATATTTATACTCTTCTCATCATCGATTCGTCACACAGATCGTGACAAAATTGCAATGTGATTAGCCTAATGTTTAGAACTAGGCAACACGTTGGGAAATTTATTAGATATATATCCAGTGCAAAGTACTCAATATATTAAGTACTTTTACAGCTTTTTTAACATATACCACTGATAATTCTAGTACTTATCTACGAAGTATATTCGATAAACATTTAGAAATGGCCATAAATTAATAAATAACCATATTTCAAATAGGAACTTTGCCGTTGGACAGATCAATGATTAGTTATCTTTATGCATGTTATACAAACAAGGTCTTGCAACTTGCGATTACTTAAGTCTGAAGTGGTATTCATATTTGGCCCATGCAAAAGACCCTGGGAGTCAAAGGCTGCTCTCGAGGATTTACCTACGAGTGGATAACCTCGCTTATTTGTTAACAATGAGAATCAACCAACAAAAAATAACGAATTGATAGACATCCTTTGAATTGTACATGAGTTCTAAAAGGTACATAAAATTCAACACAAAATACCGTCAGCTGGCGCTCCGCACTACCAATAAAAAGTAATATATCAAGAGTTATCCAGTGCCTGACTAGGAGATACCCTGTACCCAACACGGAGCTGCCGCAAAAGAGATAAGATTATAAGCACTGTTACGTGCATTTGCACAAAACTAATATACCCTATATAATTACTTACAATACATAGGTACTGAGATAAAAATCAGAGACACGTGTGAACCACATGACTCACTCGGTACTCGGAACTTGTTTGGGTGTACTTGTTAAATTATCTGGAAGAGTCATGCGGCGTGGAACTCAAGTTCGCTTTAGTTCATTCTAATACACATATACTTTACTAATTATAGTTTATTCATTACTGATAACAAAATACAACAAACTTAAGGAGAAAACATAAACATTGCAATCGGATCCAATATAATTTTCATTGGACTGCTGGCACGTGGCATATACACGCGTGTCACGCGCTGATAAATAGCGAGCGGCATTTTTGATATTATATTCCCCACCAACATAGTGGTCCCCAAATAGTTTTTTATCATTAAACGACATTGATTTTCCAGTTATTAATTTCAATTGGCGTTAAAAAGTTTTGTGCAAATCCCCATGAATATATATTCTTAATCTAGACACAAAAATAGATACTTGATGTAGCCAAGTCTGTCCTTCTCGTCGATCTAAAAACTGTAAGATTTAGAGACTACGAATTCAAAGTATATTTATATACATATATATTCTAAACGCATTTCAGAGCTGGATTAGGTTATCTTCTAGTATCGGAATATAATTTAGGGCTCTTCCGCACTTCCATGCATATTAATGGCTGTATTCGGAAAGCCTGTACGAAAATCCCCACTCCGGCCGGTATTCCCGCTTAATATATATATTCATGTAGAGGTTAATAAAAAGGTTTGTTTAGTCACCTTAGGTATGTTCTACATACAAAATTAATGAATACAATTTTCATCGATTTAGAAATATCCACCCACCTTACAGTGGGCAATTTAGCTGATTTAGCGTGAAAAACTAGATTTAGATTTGATGACCAAACAAAGGCGGGTAATAATTGCTAGTATGTATATACATACATACATTTATAATCGAAACTATTCACACTCACCAATAGTCTAACGTCCAATTTTGTTTTCTGCGTTGCCGGAATCGCTGACTCGCTCAACTCAACGGTGTTTATCTTTTTTGTTTGTTTATATGTATAAACATTAATAATTTCCAATTGGTTAATAGGAGAATAGAAACATATATGAAATTAATTGATTTGTTCGATTTGCAATTCATTATTTTTGCAATGTCATCGTAAATGCCGCAGGTATTTGTACTTGAAACCAACTGTTTATTCTTGTAGTAGACATGCCTAATACCACACACCTGTGATTTGTTACCATTATGTTTATTGCCCTGCAATGCCTGGAATTTAATTGCGCATGCAACAGACGCGTCAGTTAAGAGTGTGTTTATGTTCCGTTAGACGCAAAGGTAGTGTTGTCAAACAGAAAAAGGAGTAATAGCCTTTTGTGGGCAGAAAAGAACTTGTTGATATATTATACTTCTATATGCATATATATATACATATATTATATACATACACACATGCATATATTTTAAAATATACATGTAATCTTTGTAAAAAAAAAACTCACTTTCCGTTGTGTGCGGCTGACTTGTCCCTCAATAATATCCGGTTATCCTATTCCCTACTTGCGTACATACGTATTTACATACACATACATGGGTACGTAAATATTAAATATTATTATTAAAAAAAAAATCACAAATTAAAAGCACTGCATTTGGTTATGAATAGGTATTGCAATATTCGACGTCGCCTAAACAGCTGTGCGGTGCACGCACTGTCACACACTTGAACACATACAATATAGTGCATGCAAAACAGTACTAAATAACAACTTATAATACTTTTAACGCCCGCGCACGATGGCAAACCAACTCTCAGCAGTAACTGAAAAGCACGCTCGCAGCACAATTTAACCAAGAGAAATTTATAACTAAATAGAAAACAGATGTGAGAAATTAAGGCTGTGTTTTGCGTGCTTGCTGTCAGCTGAGAGAGTCAATTGACTATCGTTTATCGACAGATGTTCTCGATTAGAGTGACCACATTTTGGAAATATGAAAACTTGAACGCAACGGTCAAATTGGCTTCCCAAAAATAATTGAATTATTCTTTTATTAATTGATCAAATTAAATAATTTATTGCACTTCCAAAGCACCTAATCATGTCAGATACACTTGAAAATCACGTAAGCACTGCTTTTTTAATCATTTGCTACTTACACGCCCATCGCTCTATCGGCAAATTACAAACTATTAAATATAAAATCAATTTTGGTCGCACGGCTGCGTGAACATATGTGAACCGTCCTGAAATTCCCAGTCGAACTGCTATAGTATATTCAAAAACGTAAAGTCATGTTCATAAAATATTCATTTTGACCTGTTTTACTAATATTCAACAGAATGTAAAAGACATGCCATGAATTTTCAATATTTATAAGGATAAGGAGTCAACGTATTCATTGTAGGGTTTATATTAGCGAATCATTTGCCACAATGATTCGGCGATTAAGTATAATTTTGAAAAAAGTCTATAGCATATGATAATTGCTCTTCAAATGACTGTCATTGGGAAACAATTAATTTCCTTTACGTCTTACCATAGTTATAGTAACTCGTTGACTGGCTCAGTTAATTGCGTCGATTTTTTTATAACCTTGCGGAGGGTATTACTATGATGTCGGACCGCCAGATAAGCCTGCTGTGCAGATGGACGCCTGTGATCGATCTTTCTTCCGTCGAACAGTAGCTCCTACATTTCATTGATATTTGATATTTCTCTTTTGGATATCTTCTCCATTCCACCCTATATTTGCAAGAACTCATTTTTAACGGAAGAGCCTTAAGCTTTGGTACACTCCCGATCAGAGCACTCTTACTGGTGATTGATGTGCTCACGGTATAAAAACAGAAATATTTTATACAAAGTTGAAAGAAAAAAGAATCAAACTAAGGTTTAAACCAATCGCTGGGTTCACAGATGTGGAACACCCGATTCGAAAACCGAAGATAATGTCGAGGCATTGTTTCGAACCAGCCTGCCATGGTATACCGAAGCTCTGGGTGTTCACAATCCAAAACCACCAATTTATATTTACAAAATATCAGTCTACACTCATGCGTAGCTAGTTTGACGTAGAAAAGGATATAAAATAAATATGCTCATACATGCTCCCAATTTAGCGTGTATAGTGTAGTGGGCCTGTGTATTTCCTATCTGATCTCTCTTCAGTATCATTTAGTGGCGTTTCCGGTTCCGACATGCGACGCTTCAGCTCGGCCCGCGTTTCCTGCACCTGGGCAATTACAACATTCATGCTCGCCTGATAGATGCAATAGTCATTCACATTTAGGCGCACCTTGTTCTTCTCCATGGCGCCATAAAGAAACGAGTAGACTATGTGGCCCACAGGTATATAATACTTGAACCAGTTATGCAAACGGCCGCTGCAAAAATTAGTAGAAGTAAAAATCAAAATATATATTATACTCATAAAAACAAATAATGGCAATTTCCATATCAGTGAGCTTGTTGAAATCAAAAACAAAAAAAGATATTGACTTTAAGCCTTACTTACACCAATTCCGATTTATCATGTAGAAAGTTAATAAATCGCGCCAAATTGTCAACATCCTTGCGCAGGCTATGGATGAAAGATATCAGCTGAGTCAATTTCAAATGTCTGGTAGAAAACTCACTTGGCCTCCGACTCCTGTACGGTGGCTCCGTCACGTACAAGCCGCACCTCCAGATAGAAACCGTGGCTGTACTTGTAGCGCAGGTACTGCATGCTGCCAATTGCGAGCATTTCACTGTCCTGGAATAGTATTATAAAGTCGGCAAGTACCTTGCACTCCAGCTCATCGTTGGTGGAAAATATAATGGTCTTGCCGCAGTAGCGTAAGTAGCGCAAAATGTTCCAGATTTCGCGACGTGTAGTCGACGGCATGCCGCAGGTGGGCTCATCTAGTATGAATATCTTATTGTAGGCAACCAGCGAGAGTGCAACGTTTAGCTTGCGGCGCTTCTCCGGCGTCAGGGAGCCGCATTTGCGATGCATCCAGCCGGTCATGTTGAGCATAAGGCAAATATCATGCATTTTCTCGCTAATCTTGTTCTCCGTCACGCCCCGTATCATGCACAAGAGACGGATGTGCTCGCGCGGCGTTAGGTCGTCAAGCCAGCATGCTGAGGACAGTAGCCGACATAACCGAGTATGGTGTCAAGATCGTACTTGAAGTCCAGGCCCCTTACGTAAATCTCGCCAAAGGCAAATCCATCTACACCCACCAGCTGCCGCATTAGATGACTTTTACCCGAGTTGCGGGGCCCAAAGATGCCCATGCTCATATATCTGGCAGGGAGAATGGACAAATGGATGCTCGTTAAGCCATGGACATAGTTTACTCACTTGTTTAGCGCAAATGATACCGTATTGACCTTGTTGCCCCTGACCGGAATCTTGCCCTCGACCTGATCGACCAGAAACACCGATTGCTTGCATTTACTCATGTCCGCATCGGCAATCTTTTGCTTCACATCAGCCACATCACTATCATCGAAATGATAAGTAGCGGTGCGCATATCAAGTAGTCTATGGGACAAATGAAAATTAAATTAATGCTAAATTACACCGGACTATGGCTGCAAGCCGGGTTCGAACAGAACCGCTTCGAGCCCGAAATTACAAATGAATTTTGCAATGCATCTTGCCTTAAACCAATACGGTCGGCAGAATAATTTGGTTCAAGAAAATTACTTTTGAGATAGCCCAAGACCCAAAACATAAACAGCAAATCAACCCCAAACGAAAGCGTTTGATGCCGATTCGAGCTAGGAATAAAACTTAGCGCTTCAAACATAAACTATATATACCACTCTTTTATATATACGTATAAAATAAATGTTCTCAAAAAGCTTTAAAAATGATTTTGACACTGATCGGACGGTAAATGAACAACTTTCATACAAACATTTTCCGCCAATTTACCACTGTTGCCGGTGGAATTTCCCAAATCGCTGAAACACGTATTTATTAAGTTCCTATGTAGAGCTCTGAAAATAAGTTTGAAGCAAATCGGACAAAACTTTAAGCTTCTCCAAAAAAGTCTTAGAATCGCACTTTTTACCGAGGCAGCTTAGATTCTGCGAAAAATGTAAAGCACGTTTCAAATGATTTTTCATATAGATCTTTGGAAATGAATTTGAGCGCGAATCGTCACTCACCAAATCTTTGACCCCCATTTCCACCAAGAAGGCATTGATTTTCCAAGAAGTATGAAACAGCCTTCAGCTAAATTTTGACAAAGATCTTTGTAAATGTTTCTGAGTCTGATGGTAAACAAAAAAGTTTCATACAAACGTTCTTCGCGATTTTTCCACACATGCGGGTGGAATTTCCCGAAACCCCGTTTTAAAGTGCACCTCCATCACATAAGGTAACTACAGTGGAAATGTCAGCTTCTTTACTCTTACGGCTTGGGCTGTGCGTTGATCACCAATTCGTCAGTGAGTCAGTCAAGACAAACAGTTTCATATATAGAGATACATATATGATTTCAACTATTGACCGAACCGCCGAAAACTTTTGATACAAATAAACTCCACAAGAAATATAGATGTATCGACTAGACACAGCTGGAAACAAGTTTTGAGCCTAACTGAATCGGCTACGCAAAAACCCAAAACCAAATCCGAACCATATTCAAACAGGTAAGAGCGTTCGAATCGAGAGTGACCGACTAGGAGGTTTTCTCTTCGTACTCGTATTTTGAAACACGCATGCACAACATCACACACTCTTTAATAGCTCATCGGGGTTTCTCGCCTTTTATGCTATAAAGTTTCTTAATGTTTCGTTTTTAAATTGATGTTTCTACATTGTTCAAATTAAATAATGCATTAAGCAGAGACTAATAACATATTTGCAAGGGAAACAAAAAAATCATTCCTTCGAGCCGGAGTCGAACCAGCGACCTGTGGATATCTATATATTATATATTGCACTCTATGTGCCCATTAACTACAGTCCATCGCTCTACCAACTGAGCTATCGAAGGCGAATGGAATGCAATGTCGAAGATGCCAACAAAAGCCCCAGCAAAAAGCACAAAATCAAAAGCATTATCAAAACACAATTGCGAGAGGTCAGCAGTTTATTCAATTTATAGAAGCTGTCTTCGCGACCAAGACGCAAAGCGCAATTATGTTGAGTAAGTAAAAGTAATCTATCAAGCCGAAGCATAAATACACTTCGGCATATGGTTTTGGTGAAGCAGACACAAGCGGAGAGGCAGCGGGAGATCAATACGAAAAAGTTAACAAAACGGTCCACTATTATACCCTGTATCGAAAAATATTTCACTTTTTGAATATCTTCTCCATTCCCCACAAAATTGAACAGCTTATTTTGAACGCGTTTTCATTTGTTATACTCTGTACCTATTGAAAATGGGCAAAATAAAGGTATGTTGGTCTTGTGGAAATGTATATAAGAGGCAGAAGGAATCATTTTTGAGCCCATAAACTACAGTGAAAACTGCTGACACTCCTATTAGGCGGACACCCGTTTTGAGCGTAAACCATTATAGGCCATTACAGGCCAAAGCCACTCCACCTCTGTTAGGCGGACACTCCTGTTAAGCAGACAACCCGCCCTGTCGATCTATCCCTGTCCGTTTGTCCGTATGTATGACAGCGTCGATCTCCGAGATTACACGAGCTAGACTCTTGTAATGTTGAACGTAGGTCATCCTAGTGCACGCGCAGATCGAGTTTTCTTCAAATGATCGATACCTTGCCCATTTCCATGCAATCGATAAAGATCCTTATCGAAATTCTGTTTTTTTTAACACGCATCGTAGCTTATAAGAAATATTGGAACAACATTT